TTTTTATGAATTTCTTATTCGTTTTTGCGTGTTTATGAATAGGTGACATCCTTTTGATTACAAAAAAAAAAGGAATCTTGTTCAACTATCATAAACACGCAAGAACGAATAAGAAATTCATCAAACGAAAGCATAAAGAATTATCACTTTTATGGTTATCATCTCGTCAAAATCAAATTTCTAAACGATTAGAAACAAAACAATTAGAATCCGTAGTTGTGATTGATAAAAACCTTCCTGTACCGGATATTATTGATCATAACTTAAACGGTATATCAATATCATATGTTCATTGATTACTAGTATTTTACAATAAAGTTTCTTTAATAAACATTATTTATTTCATTTGTTAAATAGTCATCTTTATCGGTTTATTTTCAGGAAAGAAAAGTGTCTCAACCGGACACCACTTCTCATCTCCTTTTAACCACTTCTACGATTGCTTATTTGAAAGTGGTATGTGTGACTTGAAGATTTTTAGATTTATATTTTTTTTGTAGACAGATTTATCAAACTTATTAGGTTTAAGACTTATTAGTATTAGATTTAATTAGTTACTGTATTATACTAATTTGTTTAGGATTGACCAATGGAGAAAAGGTCACGTACTTTGATGATAAACGTCTTGTAAAAGACTTCAAGATTGGAATTATAACTTTACTAAATAGACCAGAACATCGTTCTAAAGTAAATTAATTTTTAGTAAATTAATTTCCAATTAATAATAATAAATTTAACTCATTTTTTTTTTAATCGTATATTTTAAAAAGGATAAAATATCAATGGAAGAAATAATTCACACGATACCATCTCTTAAGCAAAAAGTTAAAACTTATCATCCAAAATTCATATGTTTTAATGGTATGGCTGTTTACGAAGCATTTATGGAATATGAATTTCGTAATTTAAAAGTTTCACCAATAAATATAAAGAATAAATGGAAATTTGGGTTACAACCCAATGTAATTTCTTGGGATACCAAATCACCTTTGAGTTATTCTCAAAATAATGCAAATTTATTAAATCAATCTGCATCAGGGCATACAAAAATATTTGTAAGCATGTCAACAAGTGGACGTATTATGGAAGATCAACGAGATGAACAAATCAAATATTTTAAAGAATTGAAGATTCTTTTAAATTCTGAGAGAGGATTACAAAGTGAATCCGAAATTCCTAATGTTACAGATCAAGAAATGGATTTTAATCTTGATATCGATAACCAAGGAATAAAGATGAATAATTTTGATTCATTCAAGAATGTTAACTATATCAAAAATAATTCTGTTAATAAAGCCGAAGAAGAAATACTTAAAATAATTCATAGTTTCCAAAATGAAATTGAAATGAATTATTGTATGGATGATCACGAAAGTCTCAAAAATTCTTTCTTCTCGTCACAAATAACAATGAAGTATTCCGAGCAAAGTGATAATAAAGAGCAGAGTGAATTTACTCCACCTAAATCGTTTAAGGCCGTAAAGTGGTAGTAAGCCTTGAGAAGTTATGGAAGCTATAAGAAATTACTATAAGAAGTTGTAGTTTGTTGTGATATCGTGTTATATCACGATAACGTGGTTGAAAAGGATATATTATTTCTTATATTATTGATTTATTGTGCTCCATTATAAGATAAGATAATGTTCTAAATTTGCAACACGTAAACAGACTGTTTCACAAAACGATATTATGCGACATTGCGACATTGCATTTTTTACAATTTAACTACATAGGAAACGTAGGAAAATGAGGGGAATTATTTGTTGTTTCATATATAAATTATATAAATTATTAAACAGTAACCTGACCGATGGTAGTTGTACGCGATTTTTGTTGGTTACACCAAGGTGACTCATGGGATGACAGTCATAAAGAAAAAATCAACAGCCAAGACCGGATAGGGGAGTCAAATAAAATTTATTTTATAAGCTGTTTAATTAATTGTTATCGTTAATGTTGCACTTTCCTTAATATAAATCTAATGCATTAATATTTATTCTGATTACTACTGTATTGTATTTTCACTTACAATACACGATCATCCATCAAATAAAATTGAAAGTAAAATCAGATATTAGATATTATCTGATAATACAATCCAATAAATAAATATTATTGTATTAAAATTTCCAAATAATATCAGATAACTAAGTTACGTATAACAGAATAATGTACGTATTACAGATGTATTAATTCTTTATCTGTTATATAATTTATTATATTTAAATTTCAAATTACTGATGATCGCCCATCACACAAAAATCACTACGTAAGATTTTTTGTCAAATATCTTGCTTAATAATAAAGATCTCTTCGATTTTATAATAATACATCTAGTAATATTACAAGAATTGGCTATTAATTTGACCAATTAATATTGGGAAATCTCTGGATTGTTTTTTACTAACTAATATATATATATATTTTTTTTTTTACAAAAGAGCATCTTTGTCTTTAAAACTTTAAATGTCTACATTCAATGTCAAGTTATAAAACATTTAACATGAACTTCCAGATGCCATATTCCTATAGTAAAGATATTAAGTGGCGTATTATCTACTTATAATAAATAAAAAAAGGGTCATTTTCTTTAAAGCTTTTGAATTTGATACTAAATTTGATGTTATTTTTTATACAAGAAAATTAGGTTCAAGTTATCCTAAATTATCCTAAATTAGGTTCATATGTAACCTAAATTAGGTCAAACTATAATTAAACCTGATGCGCTTATCTATCTTTCCGAGATTCCCGATTTCCGTATTTCTAGTGATGTATAAAGTATAACGATAATCACAGTAATTTGAAAAGAACAATAATTATTACAAAAATTATTAAAGGTTTTTTATATAAAATTTTAAATCAACAAATACCTGTACATATAGTATAATGTATATATGCATATAATTACATGTTTTGAACAGTATAATGTATATATGCATATAATTACATATTTTGAAAATTCTACGTATTATATAATAATAAACCTCTTTAAATTATTTATATACCAGATACTGTATTTATTTTTATTATTATAATGTTAATATAGATATGTAAAGTAAACCAAATTTGTTAAAATTTAATAATTACAGTTTATAGATCCCAAAAAAAAATTTATATAAAAGAATTTTATTTTCCAGTACCATAATTATTTAAAACCCACTCATATTTCATATTGAACCAATAAATGAATTAAATTATAAATTATAGCAAGTATAATTGAATGCATGAACAATTTTTTTTTTTTTTTTTTTTTTTTTTTTTTTAACACTATGATTATTTAACATTATAATCGTTTTTAGCATTATAATTGGTTTAAATTCTATAGACAAATTCAAAATTGAGATATGCATAGTAAATAAGATGAATGACTTGATACAAATTTTTCATTGTATTTTGTCCATTTTCTTCAGGAACAAACTCTTCAAAATAATGATCCAAATCTAGATTATTAAAACAGAACTAATAACAACCATAGATAAGGCTGCCATGAGACCAGAATAATAATCTTTCCTCCTAGTCATGATCACAGTAGATGCACCAGAAGTTGAATCCTCCAAACTAGTAACTTTTTTACCAGTTGCGTATACAATTTCTGGACCTTGATTATTATCTGTACCACTTCCGGAATCACTATTGTCATTATTTCCTTTGGTTTTACTTGATGCTTTTTGTGATGTTGAATCTTTTTGCGATGTTGAATCTGGTTGCGCTTGTGATGAAGATTTTGCTGGAGGTTGTACTGGAGGTTTTGCTGAAGATTGTGTTGAAGGTTGTACTGTTACTGAAGATTGTGTTGGTGGCAGTACAGCTGCTTGAAATGTTGGTGGTGTAGAAGTTGCTTGTGTTGTTTGCGCTGGTCGTGATGCATTTACTATTGGTTGTCCCGTAGGTGTTGTAGTCGGTTGTGATGATCCATTCAGTGTTGTATCTTGCACGATAGTTGTAGGTGATGATATATCCTGAGAGTTTGCAGCTGCATTTTTTTTTGGAATTAAAGTACTATCAGTAGCAGTACTTAAATAAGTAGTAGCAGTTAAGATATTGGAAGTATAACTAGCTGTTTCGCTATTAATGACTTCTGCTGATTTATTACCAGGGTTATTAATGGAGGCAGTGGGGGTCGTCGATGGTAAGTTGCTAATATCTGCTGGTTTTGCCACATTTTTCCCCGAAACTGGACCCTTTTGAACACTTTTATCTGCCACTTTAGCATTAGGTATAGCTTCGGAGACGATGCAACTCAAAGTCAGTAACAAAACGAACAGAATAAGATGAATGATTCTATTAGAAGCCATATTTATAGATTAACGGATTAACAGACTAACAGATTAACGGATTAACAGACTAACGGATTAACGCAAGGATGATGAGGATGGTGTTATATCGAGAAAAACTGTAAGGAATATTTATTATTAATTATGAGCTGGCCCTAAGGAGTGTGGCAAGGCACAGCCTCGAGTTAGTTATTAAAGAGAGGTAGGATAAAGATGGTGATGGTGTTAAGGTTTACAGAACAAGAAAAAATTTTTGCAATTAGACCATAATTTATATAAGCTTTGTCATTCGTTTAAAGAAATTTTCATTTGCATGTTTCACTAACCATAAAAGTATCAGTAATAAATTTTTAAATTATATATTACTATATCAGGATTAAATAACTTTAAAGGTTCTTTATTTGCAAATTAGCGGGTCCTGTAAATTCACGTGGGCACCAGGCTTTGAAAAAAATGTCTAGATTGGTCTATATTTCTGCGTTGTAAATTACTATAATCTTTTTCCGTGATATTTGAAAAAAGAAAATTAAGAATAAAATTCTTATTTTTGATGAAACGCATTTTTTTTAATATTGTCGGTAAAGTAAATGTTTTATTGATTTGAAAATGAAATGACTTACTTGACAAGGGATTATTCTACAAAAAGTGGAAACGATTAAAGCGTTGATTGTACTTATTTTTCTTGGCATCTATTAATAGTTAATTGCATTTTTATTTAATAAAATATCACCAAATAATGTATAATAATAATATCTGTGAATTTGTGTATCATAAAAAAAAAAAAAAACAATATGGCGGAGCTAAGGGAATTTAAAAAACCTTTACAAAAAAAAACTAATAAAGTCAATTACGGATATAACTGACATGTGTAAATTACGAATTTCAAATTTCAAATTCGTTATACAAGTGACTCTTGATATGAGAAAGTCACTAGGTTCAGACAAAATCTTATATTGAGATTTTCTTATATCAAATGCTTTTGTTATAAAATTTTCAATTGGAACTTTCCTATATCAAGAGTTTCTTATATCAAAGGTTTCTATATCGAGAGTCACTTGTATATACAATATGAATGACGCCAAAGCAATCGCCCTAAAAAAACTTACGTAATTAAATATTCTCTGATTCGTTGTACCGAAAATATAAATATGAATGTTAACATCGAATAAGTTGGCTAGATTTATATATCAAACAAAATTTTATTATTCAAAACTTTGTTAAAAAGTTTCTCTAGAACTAGTGTAATTACTTCTATAATTTGTAAAACTTTTTTCTTTTTAGAGTGAGGCTTTGCTTTAGTTTTTTTATTAGATAAATTGTATTTGTTATTACATTAATGAAATACAAAAAAATCAACTAAAAACTGTTAGCTAGAGCTACTTTATTCTTAGCTAAGGCTCTGCTAGAAAAAGCCAAGATCTTAACTAGTTTATGTAGTTAAGATAGTATTTAGTAATAGTTATACTTCTTAATAAATTCTTGAAACTAGTATTCAAGTTAGTTTTTATTTTTGTTTGTTTTAAAAAAAGTGTAAATAGAGAGATTTGGAATATATCTATATGCTTTTTATCTAAAATAGAAATAATTGTTAATTAAGATTAGGGTTAGAGTGAGAGCTAATATTAGAATTAGTATTTTAGAAAACATATCAAAATTTTATAAGAAATTTTTTTTTTTGTTATCTTTTAAACTGTTTTCTAGATAATTATTTAATAACAATTATTATTATAGTATTTTATTAATATAAATAATATTTGATTTACAAATCTGTATAATAAAAACATAAAAATAAATTTTATAAAACAAAAAATAAAAATAAATTTTGATTACTTTAGAGTTAGAATGAGGTTTAGAATTTTATCTAGATATTATTATATATAAAATTTAACAAGAAATTTTTTTTGTGTTAAAGACAGTTTATATTGTCAAAGAAATTTTATTAGTATTATATACAGAATTATATATTAATAATTTCTACTGTTTGTAATTATTTAAAGAGTGTATAACAAGCAATATGTATAACTTTAATCATTGTTTATTTTAAATAGTTCATCATATAGATATTAGACTACTTGATTAGTTTTATACTATGTTACTATACTTGTAATCTGCTTGTAAATTATCTATTTAAATACTTTGTTTATTAACTTGTACAGATCTAACTTAATATCAATACAATATCTAATTACTTAAATCTTGTCTTAGTATAGACTATAATAGTATATTCTATCTTAATTATCTTTTTTTCTGCCTTTTTTTTCTTCTTTTATTTTCTTTTTGTACTT